AGCCATTACTCTAACTGCTGGTCCCAATGACCATAATTTTTTTAATGTCTGACAGGAAATGCCTTTGGCCATTTACTGTGATATCTTTTTGATGTCCCTTTAGGTCAATTATAGTTAATACTCAACTTTGCAAGTCCTGTCTTTGGTTCCATTTCTGAACTGTATTTTTAACATAACCACATTGAAAAAATGTTTCATATTTGTTATTACAGCTTCTTTTAGTTTAAAATATTTTTGTAATATAATATAATACAATAGCAAAATGGCTCCTGATTATGATGTGAAAATGGTCATTGTTATTTAGAAAGTATAATATACCTCGAAAACAGGTGAAGAATGCACCCAATTACAAAAGTATCTCTCTTTAAAAAAAAAAAAATACCCATTTCCCATGAGCATGCAGAAACTCTATTTGAAAGGTTAAAACACAAATATTTCTGTCAATTACATGCAGGAAGAAGTCCAGCTACATAGCCATTATGCTAACTGCTGGTTCCCAAAAATATTTCTGTACTTTTGACACCCATTTACTCTATAAAATGTTTTCTTTGAGATTCTGTTTTGTAGAAATTTAGAATCTGTTTTTTTTGTTGTGTGTGTATGTGTGTGTGTGTGTGTGTGTGTGTGTGTGTGTGTGTGTGCCGGAACTCACATGCCTATTCAACAACTCTAACATTTAGGGCATTTTTTTTGCATGTATTGTTAGGAATGTAGGTAAACGTCAAATAGTCTATGTTTTTTAAAATAAGCCACCTGGGATTTGGCTTTTCTGCTTGGAGGGGGGGGGGTTGCTGTTTCTCCTTTTCCCCATGCACTGAGGGTGGTGATTAGAACTGGAGGCAGGAGCTGGACAGGAGGGTCCTTTGAATTCCAGAAACACTCTGTCAGCCATGACAGGGAGCTCCTGCTCAAGCCGGGGAGACTCATCTCAGGCCTGGGCTGGCTCTTCCACCCTGGGTTGGAGAACTCAGGGCCCAAACGTGCCCCTTTCCATCCTCTTCTCTGGCAAAGTGGTCTTGGGTCAGACTCTCTCAAGGAGTGGAAGCTGAGATTTCCACACTTTCAGAGATTTGGGTGATATCTTTTGACAGTGCTCTGAGGTAGTCAGATGGCCTTTTACCCTGTGGGGGCATCTTTCTGGTTTTTCAGATGGGGGTAACCAGAAGGTCATAGGGTGCCAGATGGCTGCTATGATTGGTTGGTGCTTCGCCTGAGCAGGAGGGCTATCCAATCAGGTAGAGTGCTGTGTGGCCTAGTGACAGAGTGCCCTCGTGAACCTGGATCCAGTCAGATATCGACTTGGCCCGTGACGTCGGGCACTGCAGAGACTATAAAAGGGTCCCTGCTGGTCAGCGGCCGCCCATTGTGTGCTCTCCCCAGCACTTGGCAGCTGAGACCTGCTGGCTGAGACGTGCGCTAACATGTCTTCTGAGGTGGGCTTCAGCCCCAAGGAGGCCCAGAAGGCCAGCTCGACCACACAGAAGCAAAGGCACTGCAGTCGCCGCTGCGGACCTCGCAGCATGCGATGCCCGCGCAAGAACAGCTTTGCTCCCTACTTCCCCAGGGTGTTGAGCCAGTTCCACCGCGGCCTCCGGCTTACCCCGCAGTCGGTGAGCATCCTGGACTCCTTTGTTCACGACTTCCTCCAGCGCATCGCTGAGGAAGCCGCCAGTCTGGCCCGCTACAACAAGAGCTCTGCCATCACCTCCAGAGAGATCCAGACTGCCGTGCGCCTGATTTTGCACGGGGAGCTCTGCAAGCACGCCGTGTTCGAGGGCACCAAGGCCCTCATCAGGTATACCCTCAGCGCCTGAGCTGCCTCAGGAGCCCCTGAGTATCCACCCAAAGGCTCTTTTCAGAGCCGCCTCAGTCTGTCTGAAGGATCTGTAACCTACCTTACGGGACTCTGCTGCACTGTGGGTGCAGGTGGCATCCTACCGATGTTTACTTTTTGTTTTAATGACAGAAAGGGTGAAATATGTGAGCGGAGAGAGAGAGGGAGAGAGAGAGGGAGAGAGAGAGGGAGAGAAAGAGAGACTCCTCCCCCCGTACTCCCCTCTCCGCC